CTACTACTACTATTACTACTACTCCTACTGCTCTACTACTACTACTACTTCTCTACTACTACTATACCACTACTACTACTACTTTTACTATACTCCTACTATTTATTTACTTACTTGAATGACTGCTACAGAAAATCTTAATACTACAAGTATTTCTACTTTGCCAACTTTAGCTTTACTACATTTATTCAGGTCATTCTCTTTCCTCTTTATCTGATTATGTGATTCTATCTATTTCCTATTATAAATAGTTATTCAATTTTAACTATTTTTGCTTTAGCCTCTTCTACTATTTCCTCTTCGACAATTACTTCACATTTAGCCTTTACTCTATCTGTTTTTATTACTCATTTGACATCTATTATTTAATTTTTTTACTACTTCCACTTTTACTTTTTCTTCTACTTTTTTGTTAGTATGACTAAATTTTTTTCAGCTTCGTCTTTTATTGCTACTTCCACTTTCGGTACTACTCGTCTCTCTCTTTCTCTTTCTCTCTCTCTTCTGCTTCTACAATCTTTGCTTAAAATATCTTTACAATTAGTGTTGTGCGCTAAAAGACTCTCATAATATTTCTGCCCGCATGAAGCTCCTCCTTCGAATTGCTAATCATTAATGACAGCATAAATAATAATAATACTAATAAATAAAAAAACACGTTCTGCCTAGCAAAAATGTAAAATTAACTCATTTAGCATATATTTAATTCTGACATTGTCCAACTTGATTAAATGCAATTTGACTACCGATTCGACTTTCACTATCGAGCCAGATCCAGAGCCAGATCCAGAGCCAGATCCAGAGCCAGAGCCAGAGGAGCTTAACTATGGAATAGACTTAGTAGTATACTACGGCAGGTGTCGATGACATAATGAGTGGAGGAATAGCTCAAGCAGCGCTAAGATTTATTTCGGAGTTTTACTACTAATTGGCGCGGCCCGCATGTCGTTCGGTTCTCGTTCTCTTGCTCTTCGTTTTAAATGAAGCTAACTAAATTCCTCATAATCTTCTTGATATTTAATTAACCAATTTTAGTGGCGTCAATAAATTAGTTTTCCAAACATTTGCAGACAATTTATTGGCTATTCGAACTGAACTGAATATGTACTAATTGCAAACAAGTAGGAAGAGCTCCAGCTGAACGACTGCAGCATACCCTAACCATAAGATAGACAAACGAAATGTAGCTACATTTGATGCTGGCATATATGATGTAGCGAGTTTATAGGGTATTCAGAAAAAAAATTAACTTTTCAGCTGAATCAATACAAGCCAATACAAAGCTGATTATGTGTTATTTATATTATGTGCACCTACTACTATTATAAGTTTACCAACTGACATATACATATGTATATATATGTATATATA